GCACGCGCGTACCGAGTCTACCGCTTTGTTGCCTACTCACGTTCAGCACCAGCATTCTTGCCGCGTGGGCGAACCTACAAAATATCACTGCGATCCCTGAAACGCGTTTTCGGCTGTCGTGTTCACCCATCTCATCCCGCCCATTTATCAAAAGTGGTCCCACAGTGTGAACATATTATGTCACAGGAGCCGATGTATCGTGCTGTCGGATGTTCATAACCATGTGATTGGTCGCAGAAGGCAATTGGACGCACTGGTCGCTGTCCAATCGTTACGTCCCCATCGCGTGTTTTCTGCACTATCCTTTGACTCTGGTTGAAGTGCAACTCTACAGCAGGAGAGGCGTCCATTCCATCGGCTTCTGCTGCTGTGCCGCCTCCAGCATGGCGTCAGGCGACAGCGGGACACTTTTACGACGTCATCTGGCAGAAATTGAGGGATCACATTTGAGGACGTGGTAGGTGCAGCAGTTGGAGGCGCGCTCCAGGCAGCAATGAACGCTGCTTCCACGAGCAGTACCCCTCTCCCCCCCTCCTCCTCCCCCTCTTCTCCCCACAGACCGGCTCCCGTCGTTCGACGCGTCAGCATTCTGGGGTCAAGTGCTTTGGAAATCGCAGTGCGTTCTACGGAATAATTGCGCTAGGAAGATTCTCGATGCGACATGACGCAACATAGGTGAAGCCGGTAAAGATTTCCAGCTTGAAGGGACACCCCAACCAGCACGGAACTTGGCCAAGCACTGGCGAATGACTGGTTATGGTCTTTTGGCCAAAGGCAAAAAAATGGCCATTCATCGGCCAATGCTTGGCCGATGGCTGATGGGAAGTGGTCATTGGCGAATGGCCAGAGAAAAGCCAGTCGTTAACTAATCGCTGGCCACTGTATGGCCACTGGCCAAAGGACCATTTCCGGCCATTGGCCAATGCTTGGCCAAATCTGTGCTGCTTGGGACGCCTGCAACGATAACCGAAAAGAAAAACGCTATAAGACAGAAAGGGCACACTAAAGCCGTGCTCCCACTGCTTATACATCATACAAAGGAAATTCAGCATGCAAATTCGAACGCGAGTCAACACGAGATCCATGCTTCGAATGCCACACGGCAATCAGTTCGAGGTTTAAATTTCGCACATGGCATTCGAATCACAAATACTGAGGTGACACGTGTTTGCATACTGTTTTTTGTACGGTGTTTGAGCAGTATGACCCCGGCGTTAGGCACCCTTGGTGAGGCTGCCGCCGACCACGACCTCTACTTCCGGCTTCAGTTGGGATTTTCTCACTTGGCTGGCTTGGGCCGGTATGTCCCCTCTTCTTTTCATTTTTATGTGCCGAATATATATGTCTTTAGGTGCAGCATCTAGATGGGGTTGCACCGTACCCTATGGAGCACACAGTTTTACAACGATAAATTAGATGGCATTTTATATAATGGGAGGAGGACTGAAGGGAGTTGGAGATAATATCCCTACGCTGAAAGTTCTACAATTGAGCTAAACTAGTAACCTTGGCTGAAGACATCATAACGATGAAGTAATTCCCATGCAGTCCTTACCTTGTGTACTAAGTGGTATAGCAGAACGAACTCGCAGATGCACGATTGCTTGAACGTGTTTTATCTTTTCTTTCTATGACCTCAGATTGCTCGGCGACCGTCTAGTACTTTCTATGGGTGATTTCCTCAAGCAGACTTGGGACATTCGATGGCTCGTCCTAAAGGAAGTGCCAGCGACGTTTGACCGTTCATTCGCCCGGTTCGGCAAAGTTCGTCTGGCTGAGATAAACAATGCAACCGCTCAGACAGTCGGCCAAATATTGACGACTATCACCTCAATTCCTTTCGGCGATCTCAATATGAATTTGAGTACCAACTCGGTAAATACACAACTTTGATTTTCTTAGTCCTTGAATGGCTACATCAAATATGCTTGATTCATTCCGCCATAAATGGGAGAACAGTTATATAATGGAATATTAATACTTTATTTAAGATAATGTCGGACTTTGAGAAATTCGAGAGGCCTCGTTGCCGACAGCTTTTTTGTAGTTGGAATGGCCGAAAACGCACGATGAATGCCGCCATCTATTCTCGTGGAGAGCCTTGGAGACATCCAAGACAGCCGTGTCCACAGTCTTGGCGAATTCGGTCTCTCAGTGCATCGGCGGCAACCCTCCCTCTCTGCCCGATGTGAAAGCGTGGACAACGTGACCGAGCTAAGAGTTAGTGCAGTGTAAAGTGCAGCCTGTGTGCACACATGCTCCCAGACAGGACTGCCAACAAGGGAAGTCAAAATTCCCATTTTTCTTCCTACATTCCCTATTTATTATATAATAAAAATATTTGTTGTGTTCTGTATAACCTTTATTTTAATTATGAGAAATAAAATTATATCTCAAGTGCAAGTTTGTTTGCCTCTTCCGGTAGGGTTGCGATGATGGCAGAGCGCAAAGCTCTTATTGCCTGATTGAAAACCGATAGTGGGTAGACCTCAAGTCATCTAGCATTGAGGTCTATGCACTTTCCTTTCAACAAAAGTCAATCAGAGCCCGGCATCTTTCTGACCTCATTGCAACTTCTGCGCAAGAAGCACACGACTTGCTCTACGCATAACCTCTACCCAGGGCCGGATAAAAAAATATAGGGGCCCTGGGCTAATGACTACGTTGCCCCCCCCCCCCCCCCCCCCCCCGATGTATCTATTCCCCTCCTTATGTAATGTGTGCCAATTGGGATACCTTTGAGGAAAATAAATCTGACCTGATCTGCTCTTTCGCGCCTTCGCTTCGGCAAAATCTTAAATAGTTTGTTCAAAATATAAATTGTGGAGAATATCACTCTCAACTGATATGATAAGGAGAGAGATCAGCTTCCCATCCGGAATGTTAGAACGAAGCCGATTCTTTATCAGGGACAACTTTGAAAACGATCGCTCGCCTTCACAATTTGCCATGAGCATGCTTAGGTATATTCGCAATGCAATCGAAAAGTTTGGAAACATATGAATAAGTTTTTTTTTTTTTTTGTGCAGCAATTGCATTAATCATTGAGCACTCGTGCCCCGCATGCAGAACGTTGCAGAGAATTTGAAAACTGAATTACCTCGGCTGAAAATGCTGGCTCTAAATAATTTTGGTAGGTTTTCACCAACTTCTCGGTCTGCTGTGCCAGAGACAACTTGCTCCCAACTTCTGTCATCAATTTTAAAAACCCGATCTTTTCGCAGATTTCAGCTTAGAACCTTTAGCACCCGCAAATTAGAGCACAGACTGTCAGGCACGACAATGCAAGTCTCTATAAGGAACCTTTCCCTACCGTGGAGCCTACAGTCGCTTTTTCCGTCTGGGTACCTTCTCGAAACGATATGTTTGCCGTCATACTGATAGCCCTGACTCGCACTCAAAATTCGTTCTCTCGCCTCAAAGGTATCAACGAGAGGTCGCAACGAATTAACAAACCCCTCCAGAGAGCTCAAAAGATCAACAGCAGTCGAAATGTCTAAGCCAGGCTTCTGGAGTTTTCCACTTAGTGTTTTGTCAAAACGCTCCAAGATTTCACTCCAGAAAATGATCATAAACGCGGTCTGAGCTTTGTCATTTTCTCAAAAAGAGAGCGCGCTTCATTCCGGGTGCCACTGTTTTCTTCTCCGTTCTTTGAGACAGATTCAAACCAACACTGAACCGCCTTGAAATTTTTACAAATGGCCTCGCATGATTCGGCATGTCTTGACCACCTGGTTTCAGAGAGGCTTTTTAGAGCATGGTGTTCACCAGTTTCACTCATGCTGTCTAAAAGATATTTCCACCGCTTAGGGACGGCAACAAAGAATGTGTACAGTTTGAGGTACACAAACAAATTTGACGGCCTTCAGGCAACTGGCAACTGGCAACACTACACGCGCCAACTACGTTTAGTGAATGGCCTGCGCACGGGACGTAAACGGCGAACTTGTTGAGGTGTTTAACTTGCGCTTGCAGTACTTTGTACTTCCCCGACATATCACTTGCGTTGTCATACGCCTAGCCCCTGCAGTCGTCAATCTAGATGCCGTTGCTTGTCAACAGAGACATCACCTTATCGAAGACATACAACCCTGTATGCGATTCAACCGGAACAAATCCAAGGAAGCCTTCATGCACTTCTTACTCTAAACAGTAGCGTAAAACAACAGACAGCTGGTCAACGTGGATAGGTCTGGAGTCAAATCAATTAAGAGAAATATTCTGCCCGTTTAACCTCGTCAACAAGACGTTCTTTCACGGCCTTTGCCATAAGCACAATAAATTTGTCACAAATTATTTTGACAGGTATAAGCTAGATAAATTCGTCACGAATTGTTTTGACCCGTATGATATGTGGCCTCTGCCCTTGTTTCCATGGCGCATAATGTGTTGACTCAAAAAGAGATCAAACTGGGCAATGGTTTGAGGCACTCCCATATAATTTCCATTTTGCGGGGATCCCAAAACCATACCACTTCCACTAAACGCTGGGCTTCGTTCACCTAAAAGCTTGACCACGACGACCGGCGTTTCAATACCACTGTCTAGTATGCGGTCTGAGTGAAGAGGCGCTTGACGAGCTCCTCGTCAACGGTACAGCCCGAATTAGAGCGGGATAGCCATGCCGCCACAGAGGTCCTGTGTTCGAAACTGTTTTCATGTGCGCAAACCTTTTGCTCTCCTCTTTACGAGCCCCAAAATCTATGCCTGTTGAAGGAACTCGGGTTGCTTCGCACATGAAACAATAAACGGAACCTTTTGACTTCAAGTACAATAACTAGTGCCTCTCACACACTTCCCCATTTACAGCCTTTCCCGCAAAAAGAGCAGGTGACATATAGCGTTCTTGATTTTTGTATTATCTTTCAGAAGACAGAAAAGGCTCTGCTCGATTTTGAAAATACATCGCTTTCTTCTCGATACATGCACACCCAAAACCGGTTAGTAGTAACAGCCGGCCAGTTAGCTGGGTCACGGGCAGTCACGGAGCCTACCTCATGATGCTTGTGAGCTGCCAGGTTTCCGTCAAAACAGGAAGGCAGCTGATCTTTTTCTTCGAGGCCCACGCCGTGGGTGGCAGGAGAAAAATCTATACTCCCAGGGAACAGGTGAAATGACTCTTGGAGTGTCTTTTGAAGGCGCTCGTCAGAAGCAGGAACCTGACCGGGGAGGATTAGTGCTCGCTGATAAGCAGCAGAGGAGATCGGATAGGGGAAAACGGACGCGTGGAGCTGGGCGGTAGGGGCTGGGCCAGGTAAAATCGACGTCTGTTGCACAACATTAAGGATTGGTGAAGAACTGGTTTTCAGGATTCGGATGACCAGGAAGAGTGGACGCTTGCCGCTCATCAAGAAGTAGAGGAGAGGGTGGCCTAGGCGAGTGTTTTGGAATCGCCGTCTGTTGCTCAGCAGTAGGAATTTGTGAGGTGGGTATGTTTTGTTCAGGATTAGGAGTACCAAGAAAAGTTAATGCTTGCCGCTCATCAGGAAGTCAAGGGCAGGTGGAGTAGACGAGTCTTTCGCAGGAGCGCTGTCTGTACTAATGCTACTTGGGATTTTAAAATGACAACTCACGGAGGAGGAATCCAACAACTCCGTGGAAGCTGCATTCATATATATATTTTGTCATTTTTGGTAGTTTCTTCTCGTGCTTTTTACTCGCTAACTTTGCCTTTTGTTTAGGCACGCCAATTTGGTGCTTCCGACCGGAAATTTTGAATTTTTATAGACACCTCACTCAACATGGATGCTTTAGCCAGACGGTGTTCATCGCTGTCGTAGTTTTTTTTTCTCTCTTTCCACATTAACGACGTCACAGGTGATGGAAAGAGTTGACCAAGCAAATGTAGAATGCATATATTCTATACTACTGCGTCGCATCTGCACGCCCTTAACAGAGTAGAGCCAATCAGGGTCCTGAAGGTGGAGATTTATTATCATAACGAACATCATGATAACAAACACGACGCTCCGTGCGGCAATAATATATCGAGAATTATTTCCATATGCCCGCCATCTGGGGAAGAGTAAAATTCTCCACCTTAATTGAAAAACGCTACGTAGGCTGCGAATGAGAGCTACGTGTGCATTCTCGTGAATAGGGACATGGCTTTTACAGTAGTATAAAGAAGAGATGTTCGGGACACATCTGGTTCTAACCAGAAAACTTTTCCATGAGAGGATCCCGTGGCAAAGACAACCTGCAACGCGGTACTGTGCTGACACACCAGGGCCCGTTTGCTCGAAGCTGGTTAACTAACCGCGGTTAACCGGATTTCCCTACGAGGGGGAATTTTGGGTCACGTGACCTTTCAGAGTGAGGACGGCGGGGAAACATGGCGGTGCCCCGGTGAGTGAGCGCCGCTCGCTTTGGAACTAATACGTCGTAGTATCGGCAGTAGCGGGCGAGTTAGTGAGCAATGAATGGTGCAGGAGGTTTTCGCGTTGCCTTACCTCACTTAAAAAGTAAAACATGAGAAATGACCTCGCCGCATTTTTTAGATAGACTTTCGACTCTGGCCATTCCTAAGCCTAAATGAACGCGATAGTTGTCGGCATGGCAACGTCTTTGGAAAGTGGATTGCCTTGACCCAAACACAAAAGCAGAGAGCGTTCCCATAGACCTTTTGCTAAATTTAAAAAGCACCGAGGTGCATGCTACGAGTGTTGTTACACGCGCTGCACCTGCTAGCGTCTGCAGTAATAACTGTTCTGAAGCAAAACACCTAAAACAAATTTTGTCGTGCACGCGCGTTCTACAAAGATTTATTATGATTGTTTACTTCAAATCTTTTATAAGTGGAAGGCGAGAGCGCGCGGATCGTAGAATTACACTTTCAGCGTTCTCCTCGACGTTCAGGTAATTTACTACTAGGTCAATTTTCAGTGGAGCCGAGTTACAGGCTTTTCATTTTATGACGGTTATATATACGGTTCCTACATGCTGGCCAACCATGCTGCCGGTGTACCGCCCGCCTTTCACTGCTCACTTCTTTCTCATTGTTTCTAAGACTCAACTTCGTCGTCCTCTTTCGAACTCGAAAGAAAATTTCAACGAGGCTGTTCTTCACTTCATATAGACAAATATTTAGAAAATTTCCAAACAAGGGTTAATTTAGTTTTACCTTGCCGATTATTTGTACCACGAGCAATAAAAATTGTTTCTTAAGCCCAAATGTATGCCGCGCTGCGTCGCGAAAACCAGGCAGCGCGCATTTTTTGGGTCCCCCCATTTCGGGAACCTTTCCACGGAAGCCACATATATTCGCTACAGCCAGTAGATGACACCAGCTACCACCCCATAATAAAACACGGAGCTATCGCTCATCCAGGCCTCGTCAAACTTGGCTAGGTACTTGTAGGTACCTAGTAGGGAGGGGCTTAACCGCGGTTAAAGTTAACCGGCTTCGAGCAAACGGGCCCAGGTGGCAAGGGAACACTTAGAGTGCTGAGTACTCCAAGCTGCGTCCCCCCAAACGTTTCTTATTTTTTTTTTTATCAAAGTAAAGATTTGAGGTTTCAAAAGCCCTCGGTAATGACAATAGCAGCCTGGAAACTATACAGACGCCCAGCACACCGGCATTTGATTCTGTTTCTCGAAGAGCGGCTCAAGTTTTCGGTGTTCAACTTAACCCTGCCAATAGAAAAATAAAATTGTCAGTATTTTGCGTCGCTGACATCTGTGCAAGCTGATGCGACAACTGAGAACACATGACGATGCAGTGTTTCTGCACTTGTTCGGCTATCGATGGCGCAGCCGGAGGGCCTTCCACTCCAGTTGAGACGAGGGGGTAATCAGGGACTTTTCCCAACAACCACAAAAGACTCCGCGACAATCCACCAGCAAACACGGACTTCATAGTAGGACGGGGCAAAGGATGGGGGACTGGATGGGGGACCCTCCTGAGAGGCAGAGGTATCGCTTCTGTAAGTGCTGACAAGGTCACTCGAAGTAAACAAGCTACAGGAAGTGACATTAAGCGGGGGCCCCGACCTCTCCCTTTGCTTGAAGTTCTATTCTCTGGAGTTACATTGAATTGAAGGTGGCAGAAAGCTGTCAGGCTTCCCGTCTTTTTCTCTTCCTCCTCCGCAATTGTTATCCGGGAATAATAATAAAAAAAAATACGCCAAGGCAAGGTGCCCCCCTTTCTCTGCTCTTAGGGCTGCGGCCCTGGACTACAACTTCCTCTGCCCCCCCCCCAATCCAGCGCTGCCTTTACGCGTTGAGTACGTTTCGCAATAAATTAGTTTATAGCACGAAAACTGTGGTCAAAGCAAATCTGGCGAAACGAAGTGTAGCAAAAGATTAAAACTGACGAGTGGAACTATACCTTCGCTTTAGGTTTGATGCACGTCATCACAACATGCTACCACTTTAAGAACTATGTTACGGATTTTTTTTATAATTGTAAAAAAAAAGTGGAAAGCATAAAGAGTTTTCAAACTCGAGCATGCACTCACGACGGCAATTACAAAATATGGCATGTCATCGCAGGTCTATGTCACCAGACATTGCAGAATTTCTTTTTGTACTCAAGCCTGTTTTTTCTTGCGAGTAGGGACTACCCTATTGAAAAAACCAGCATGAAAGTCTAGCTGGGCAAGCTGGCAACTAAGCTGGTTAAACTGGTCAATGTGGTAGTCAAACTGGTTTAATTGGCAATCAAGCTGGTTTTAGCATGGCAAGCTAGAATTTGAGCTGGTCAGTCTGGTTTAAGTAAAAACCAGCATGGTCTCACTAGAATCTGGTTATAGACTCAATCTGGTGTATATGGGAGTCAGTCTGGTAATGACTGGTCAAACTGGTCAATCTGGTTTTCCATGGAGCCAATGTGGTCAAGCTGAGAGACAAGCTGGTGAAGCTGGTCGAACTCATAATCGTGGTGGTCAAGCTTGCCTTGCGAGGAGCGCACACGCGAAGGTCGGCTAGAGATCGTCGAACTGGCATTGCTGGGAGGGTGCGCCAAGGTCGCCTAAGGCTGGGACGAGGCCACGTCCTGTTCTTTGTCCTCTCGTTTTTCGTAGACGACCGGGCGTTTTCTCGCAGCCAGCTGCTTTTGTGTGCGAGGAACCGGAGAGAGGGTGGTAGGAACGAAGAATTGAAGACACGTTTGGCTATCTTGGGCAGATTTTTGAAGGGACGGCTCTGTGCGGGTTGTTTGGAGACTACTTAAATGGCAGTGCAACCGATGCGGGATTTGAGGAGACAGCGAGCGGCAGTCTGTTCAGCGCTGGAAGAAGTCGGATGCTCCAACTAGGGCGTCGCTTTGTGTCTTTGAACGTGTGTGTGCTCGTTCATGACAGTGGTGCCGAGGCGTTTTGCCAATGCCATCCAAGCTACACGAATATCCTCGCCTCTGCCGACTACGCAAGAGGCCGCTTCGCCCCCATCACTGGCGGGAACCAGGCTCGCTTCTCACAGCCGTGTAGTACTATCTGTTGTTTTTAGAGCGCAGCTCTTAGGCGCCCGTTTCCGGCTTGAGCGGCGTCGGCGTCGCCGTTGGCGTCGCCGTCGCTGTCGGCGTAACCAAGGTCACCCCAAGGTCACGTGACCCCAGGTCACTTGACCTTGGGATGTGACCTGGGGTCACATTTAAAGGTCACATCCTTAGGGGGTCATGTGACCCCCCAAGGTCACGTGACCCCTCCCAAAGTCACCCCCAGGTCACCTCAAGGTCACGTGACCCCCAAGGTCACCCCCAAAGGTCACCCCAAAGTCACGTGACCCCTCCCAAGGTCACCTCAAGGTCACGTGACCCCCCCCAAGGCGACCCCCACTTGACCCCCAAGGTCACCCCAAAGTCACGTGACCCCCCAGGTCACGTGATCCCCCTCCCCCCGAAATCACGTGACACCCCCCCCGAGGTCACGTGACCCCCTCCTCCGGAGGTCAGGTGACCCCCCGGAGCATATTAAAGAATGAGGAGAGGAGGAGGAGGAGGGGTCTACCCTCCCCTCAGTACCCTTCCCTCCTCCTCCTCAAGAGCTGCGCTCCAATTCGGCGTTACAGGGAGTTGTAAACGGCTTTCGCTTTTTGTTCTGTTTTTTGGCGTTTCTAGTATTTTTGTGTAGAGAAATAAGCAATCTAGTTTTAATACTTTTGCACCGAG